TCGAAAAGTTCTTAACGAAAAAATATTTTATTATAGTGTTTTGGAAAGCTCTCGAGATGTGCTATAAGAATATGCAATGAAAAATGGGGTGTTCCATTTAAAAAAATTAATGTGACCTTGACCTGACCTTCGCTACGCAACCCAAGGTCAAACTGATGTGATCAGTAAATACATCTTTTTAAACGCCACAACTTTTGTCTGAAATATTTTTTTGTAAAACTTATATTTTTCCTGATATTCGGGCGTCTCGATACTTTCCGAACACCCTGTATATATATATATATATATATATAATATTATATTAATAATAATATTAACATTTATATATTTTATATTGAGTATATTTTATATATTATATATAAGTATATATCAAATATATATTTATATTGAATAATACTATTAATGAATAAAAAATTAATTTATAAAATCGACTAAAACATTGCTCAGAATGATTTGCATTTTTAATGCAAATTTCGAGAATTGTGTCTACTTTCTTCTGTGCTCAATTTCAGGACTGTCAATTTCATAAGACCTTCGGAATTTTCCTTAATTTCTTATTGAAACAAGTCCACTATGCGTGTTACTTCTATACAATATTATGTTTTTACCTACGTTGTCAACATACACATACACACGCACGCGCGCACGTGCACACACACACACACACACATATTTTTTTATTTATTATTATTATTACAACTATAGACTAATTTTAATGAGAGCTTTTTAGAAATTAGGGAGAATCTCGAAGTTCTTATAAAATTGACGATCTTGAAGATAAATACCACGCGATAGTTAGTCTCAAGGCTCGACAGCAGAGTGGGAGAAGCAAGAGAAAGAAAGTAGGCGAAAGTTGCCTTAAAAGTGCAAATAATCCCAAGCACTAGATTAAAATAAAATGCGATGTGAAAGTATTTCTAAATTAATAATTCTTCTGTGTCATCAGGGACCGGGCATCTGCGATGAATGCCAGGACTGGACAACCGGACGCTACTGCGAAGAATGCAAGGCAGGCAGCTATGGCAACGCGACAACTCCATTGGGTTGCCGCGAATGCAACTGCAACGGACATGGCGATATAGAACTCGACGTATGCGACCGGCAGACTGGCGTGTGCTTCTGCCGCGACAACACTGAAGGTGGCATTTGCCAGCGCTGCAAGCGAGGCTATTACGGTGACCCGCGAGACGGCGGTATGTGTTATTATGGCTGCATGTCACGAGGCATGTTAGGCGGCGTAGGTAACGGCAAACAGGGTCTTGGCAGTCGGCATTCGCAGTCCTCGCTCTGGGGCAATCACGTGGGCGACTCGCCAACGCGAGAGTGCCTCTGGATCGTCAGTCCTGAAACTGATCTTTCCTCGGACGCGACTATACCTGCAGTTCAAAGCGTGATACAATTCACCATCCATGACGACATCAACGTGAGTTGTCAAGAGAACAGCGTATACGTGTACGACGGTTTACCAGAGTTTGTTTCCTCATCCGGCGGTCATCAGAGTCAACTGCTTGGTGTGTATTGCACCGAAAGTACCGACTATCCAGTGACGGTGGAAGCCAAATCCGGCTTCTTGACGGTGCACTATAAGCAACTGGACGAGGTGGAAGGCTTCAACGCGAGTTACGTGGTGATGACGTGTAACAATTGTCCGGGTAACCGTGAATGTCGCAACAGCAATTGCCTGTGCAAACCCGGCTTCTTCGGTATCGAGTGTGACGTGGAAATCTGCCCCGACAACTGTACCGCCTCCAAGAAACGCGGCGTCTGCGACAAGGGCTACGGCCGTTGCGTCTGTTCGCCAGGTTACGGCGGCCGCGACTGTTCCATTCGGCTGGACGACCACCAGTTGATTTTTACGGAGCTCTTCAACTCGGAATATCTGGCTGATCAGTGGGATCATCTAAGAAACACGCTACCGCGCTTTGGACATAGTCTGGTGGCCGATCGTCGCGGTAGCCTTTGGATGTTCGGCGGCTATTCGCTCAGTCATGGACCGTTGAACGACATCAGGTTGTTCGACACGAAAAACAACACATGGATATTGATTACAGTAGACTCCACGTCGTCAGCCATGTCGGCAATGTCTATGCCACAGGGTCGTTACTTTCATGCCGCCGAGATCGTGCACAGTAGACAGCAGATATACGTCTACGGTGGCCTGTCGATGAAAGACGAAGACGTGCAAGGTCTGTCGAACAATACCCTCAGTGACTTCTGGAAGTTCAGTCTGCAGAACCAACGATGGAGTCAGATCGTGCAGGATGAAACGAAGAAAGAGCCGTTACCCTTGGCCGGTCATACGCTGACTCTGCGTAGGGACGGAGAATCGGAAACCCTGATTCTAGTCGGCGGTTTCAGTCCCAAGTACGGATACCTGGACACGGTTTGGGAGTTTAATCTAGAAACAGAGACCTGGGACACGGTGAATACTATGGGAAACGGGCCACTGGGTGTTTATGGTCACTCCACGGTGTATCATAGCAAGTCAGACAGCTTTTACGTTTTTGGTGGCTACACGTATGCCATAAACAGAACATTCATCTCGAACAAATTGTATGCTTTGGATTACAAGACACGGACGTGGTCTGTTCTGCCACCATTCGAGGATGATTTCACCGAAGGCAGCAGCTTGGTATGTTTTTAAATATATTTTTGAATATTAATTTATTTAATTCATAACTAAAAATTTGTAAAGAATTTCATAATTATAATTTTTAGTTAACATATAATAAATTAATATCACAAATCACACATGTTTATATATGTTAAATCAGATATTATAAATTAATTTATAATATATAAATATAAAATAATTTATAATATATAAATATGAAATAATTCATAATTAAAATTTAATAGAATATTCTAATATTGATTTATTTCGATAATTCATTTTTGATCATTTGGAGAGATATAGAAAACTGCACAGATATTTTCTGAGTGCTAACAAATTCAATTAGTATATTCTCAAATAATTAAATTAACTGAATCACATGAATCTGAACTTTGTCATTTTATTTTAGCCTCAAGCTAGGTTCCTGCATTCCGCAGTTACGACGGATGAATATATGGTGATATTTGGCGGCCGACAAAATCCTCACAATACCTCGGACTCTTTAATCGCGTATAAGTACTCATGTAATCTGTGGATACGTTTGATAACGAAGGACATGGAAACAATCGGCAGTCCGCCTCCGCCGGCGTATGCTCACGCGATGACACACGCTGATCCAGAATCGAACGCCGTTTACGTCGTCGGTGGCTTCGATGGTAGTATCAAAAGCCATGTCACGTTAATTAACATACCGGAGGACTTGTGCAATCTCTGGACAGATAAGATCACCTGCAGAAAATATTTTGGCTGCTCGTTCTGCGCTGTTACTACTATCACCGGCACTAACGCTTCCTTTTGTTTCTCAAACGAGGTATCCAGCAACCGGGATGATAAGTACGTTTTGTGATCTGTTTTTCGCAAATTTTTAATTCTCAACTTTAGAACTACATCATCTTAGAAATTCAATAATTTTCTACGTTCTGTATCTTATATCTTAATAATTATTTTTGTTCTATTTTGTACCTTAATAATTATTTGTGTTCTATTTTGTACCTTAATAATTATTACTTTTAAATTAACACTATAAAAATGATATTTTAATTGTAATTTTAAATTTTATATTGTTTGAAAATAGAATTTATTAATTTATGAGAGAATAACTATTTCACAAATTTTAGATGCGATTTGAACGTCACTCAAGCGCAACGTTCCAACGGAATCTTCTGTAATTCGGATTGGATGACAGGCAGGAAGTGTCAGAACTTTAAAACTTGCACGGAATGCCTGGCGGAGTGGCCGTATTACAAGAACGACAAGCCGGTGTGTAAATGGTGCACCAACTGCCCATACGGCAAGTGCATCCCGTCCGACAGGGACTGCGACGAGTTGAACAAGTGTAACGTCCGGCAGGTATCGGTCACTAATGTAAATCAATGCGGAGAACGATTGTGCCCAGCGAGCGACTGCGAAAAGTGTAATAATATTGGGGATTGCGTGTGGACAAGGCAGGTTCTGAAGACCTGTAAGTTCTGCATACGTACAATAGTATAGCGTAAATAAATAACTACACACTAAAAAAGTATAGTTAAAAATTAAAAATTATTCTCTCTTTGCATAATATCACAATTCTTAATAAATCATGCAACAATGAACGAATTAATCTCAATCGAAGTGTATAATAAAATAATATCGCAAATGTTGTATACAATATGAGAAAATTATTTCCATCGACAGCCGAATTGGGGGTGAAGGTAACGGGTGAGCCCGTCTACGACTGGAACTGCGTGCCGGACGATATCTTCGAGCGATCTAGCATCAAGATGAGCAGCACACAGTGCGAACGAAGATGTGCTGATCACAAGGACTGCAGAAGCTGCCTGAAAGGTACTGGAGCCGAAGGAGGATGGAGCGAATGTAGATGGTCCACGCAGTTGAATGAAGTAAGGCATTTCAAATAATAAGTAAGGCATTCTATATGTCATTTAAAACGGACAAATAAATATTGCAGCGTTTATTTATTATTTAGTTCAGATCGAGTTGAAATAAACGTTGTGACCATTAATTATTAACCTGTAATTATTAATCTAAAGCTCAATCTGCATTTATATTTAAAGTCGTAAAGTAACTTAGAATTAGTGGATATATAATAGATAAATAACTATTACGTATTTATATATTTCAGTGCATTTCTCCATCATATCAGCCACTTTACTGCGCTGGCGGTGTCTGCGGTTTGGTATTACGCAGCGCAGACATGGACCATTGCCCAGAACCATGCTCAGTTTTCATGCAGTGCAGCACTTGTCTGAAACATTCACATTGCGGCTGGTGCTCCTTGGATTCCGCTAATATAACCGGTCAAGGAATATGCACAGAAGGCTCACTCGAAGCACCAACCGATCATCCTGCCGGTGGCACTTGCGAAATGCTTTATTATCAACATTTTCCGCAAACCGAATCACGTGAGTAATATACTATTGATTTATACATTAAAACATTTTTATGTCTCATGCTTTAATGCTGATGCTTGAAATTACGTTTTATCGCATCTTTGATTACAGCGATTACAACAACGTTACACCCGCATGTAGACTCTTTAGAGGAAGACAACGTCACAATGTCGCTGTCTAACATAACAATGAAACCAGAGTTCTCATGGCATTATGTACGTTGTCCTCCGGAAAATGAATGTATAAATGGACATCATACGTGTTCGCCGAACAGCGAGAAGTGTTTCGATCAAGAAGAAGGTTTCGAATGCAAGTGCGGAGATGGATATAAGACCGAAACGTAATGTCTTCTTATTTTTTTCTCTAATATTATTAGATACATTTTAATTATTCAATCTTACATACACGTATCAATTTTTTATTCTATATATATTAATATAAACTCTTTTATTTCCAGTACCTGGGTGAACGAATTTGGCAGGTAAATTTTAAGAATTTACGTACTTATTGTTTCATGACGCGAAAATTATTCAATTGTCTCAAAACGTATCTCGTAGCCTCTTCAAACATTTGATATATTTTTTCAGAAATATTTGCGTGCCTACATGCACACAAGGCTGCGTGAGAGGCACTTGCGTGGAGCCCAATGTGTGCCGCTGCGACTTTGGCTACGTAGGCGCTAACTGCTCCATCCAGTGTCAGTGCAACGGTCACAGTAACTGCGCCGGTCCTGACAAACTCGACGTCTGTTTGGAATGCCATAATAATACAATGGGCCCACAATGCGAGAAGTGTTTACCTCTATATGTCGGTTATCCTGCAGACAACGGTCAATGCGTGCCGTGTCTCGAGTACTGCAACGGACACACTCGGATTTGCATTCACGACAGCATGACTGTGCCTGTAATTAATTATTTATTATTAATGGCAACTAATCTCTTAATTTAGAACAGATTAATTAATTTTTGTTATTATTGTCGATTATCACTTATTGTAATCAATCGCAGTTTTCAATCATTTTTGTAGACTCCTCTATTATTAGAAAGATTGATACAAATTATTGTGTAGCGACTTATAAAATCATTATAAATGTTAATGATTTATGAAATAATTTAAATTAAGATTATTACAATAGTTTATAATAATCCAGTTTTCTAAAATTTTAATTTTATTGTTTCTATCATGTTACTATTTGCATGTATTATTCTATTCGTCTAATATTAGTACACACACGATCTTATATTAATAACGTACGCTTTCTGGTACAGGACCCAAATTCGGTGGACAAAATGTCGATAGAATTGTTGAAGAAGCAACTGGTGGAAGGACCGGTGGCGAAAGCGAAGTGCGTCAACTGTGGCAACAACACGAAAGGCGACAAATGCGGTGAATGTATGACTGGCTATTTCCGGGGAACGGAGGATCTTCGAGATGTGTGCCGACCGTGAGTGTGCACTCAGACTGTGACAATAAATATTAATTGATACCTATTGTACAACTAAATATAAATTAACGATACTTTCCATCCATTGTAGTTGCGAGTGCCACGGTCACGGCTTCACCTGCGATCCTGTGACCGGCGAAAAGTGTAATTGCGGCAACAACACAGAAAGCGAGTCGTCCTGCGTCAGTGGTCCCATGAAAGGCACGAACACCGGCGGCATGCCGTGCTGGATGGTTCAATGTAGCAAATGCAGAGAAAACTACGCTGGTACGCCGACGATGGGTCATCAGTGTTACAAGACTGTCACGGTGGACAACAAAATGTGCTTTGATTCGAAATTAATAGGTAAGCAATAACGATTGATATAAATCTCACGTAAGAACAATCATTTCTTCATATAACGATAAGTAATTTTTACATTTTACGTAAAAAATCACCGTATGAAGTTCTGATAACTGATCTTTATTGATAAGTCTTGTATAAACTCGACGGTTATTTTTATTTTATTATTAATCGTAACGACATTTCTGTTTTCAAATCGTTTTCTACCTTATCTTTCCATCTCTCTATACAGATACGAATTGATCGATCAAATGTTTACCAATGTTTCTACTTATTTCTCGGTTCATATTCATGCTGCCACTTGAATTTCATCTCAATGTGCATTTTTATACTCACGCTTTCAACAAATACACGCTTTGGTCAAGTAATTGTTCTTTTAAATTGCAACGTTCTGTTTTATATGGAGCATCTTACGGTTCGTATTTCTTCTTCTATACTACAAGCTACTCGATGTCTTACCGTCTTCGCGAGTGTAAAGCCTCACTGTTCACCATTGTTTTATTTCAGATGAATGCAAGATGAAGCCGAAGCCTCTGAACCCCGGTCAAACTGTCTTCTACATGGTGCAGCCGCGTTTCATGAACGTGGACATCAGAGTCATGGTGGATGTTACTCAAGGCGCCTTGGATCTGTTCTTGAGCCCTCGAGACGACTCTTTCGTAGTTACTTTGAATTCTTCGACTGGTTATCAAGATGTAAGATTATTTTATTTCTTCATTTTTTAATTCCATTATTCTACTTCTTTAAATAAAAATATCGGTTTATTTTTAATAAGCAATTTTTGTTCTGCCTTAATAGTTTTATTTGTTATCATTTTTCTATTTTTTTAAATCTTAAAGATATTTTACATTCTTGATTTTTTAAGTTTTGTACATTTCTTTCGCTTTTTTAATTCGTCAAATACTTGAAATGTCACTGATTAAACCCGTATCTTACAGGTTGAACTAGACAGCAGGTTTAGATGGCGGCCCGATCACCCCGAAGCGTGGCTAGAAGACGAGCATAACAGCAAGATTCGAATCGTCGAGTTCCACCCACACAGTAATTTTGGCGGCACAAACGCCACCACTACAGAGCCTACATGGAATACCGGGCCGCAGTACTATGTGATGGAACGTTACGCGGAGAACCTGGCCACTTACCTGACGATCGAGAGACGCAACACGTTCTTGGTGATACGCAATTTAACGAATCGGCTGGTATTGACGTTACCGCAAGACAAGCACGAACTGGGCCAGACCAAATTCCACATTGCGCTCAGGGCGATTGACACAGCGAATCCGGAGCTGAACGGCCGCGCTGCTTACGGGATGATCTTCTTCAGGCAAGATCAGCTGCACATCGACCTGTTCGTCTTCTTCTCGTGCTTCTTCTCCTGCTTCTTCTTGTTCTTAGCGGCGTGCGTAGTCGCCTGGAAGACGAAGCAGGCGGCGGATGTGCGGCGCGCCCGGCGCCGCCACGTCGTGGAGATGTTGCACATGGCGAAACGGCCGTTTGCGTCCGCGACGATACTCTACGACCGGGACGGTGGTGAGTGCAGTCCAAGCTCGCCGCAGCGTAAGGGCAGGCGCTGCAAGTACATCAACTTCCACAGCGACGTTCGTCCGGTCGCCGTCGAGCCTACTGATGACGGCGTCGCGGCGGTGGCTACGGTGTTTATCAGGCTACCGGGAGGTCGCCAAGCGCCCGTCAAGCTGGCCCTCGGCAGTTCGCTCATACTGTTAACCCGAGTTTACCCGGTCAATAGCAGAGTGTTCCTAAGACGTAGAAACAGCCACGCGTTGAACTGAGTCTGTGTCGTCACGGTGGAATCTCGATTTTGGCTGGTCTCGAGCTCCACGCCTCGTCCACCGGTCGCCGCGTCGAACATGTCTACGACATTGAGGAGGGTCACCGACTTTTGATTGTGGATTCACTTTAACACGTAGTTATAGTAGTCATTGCGCCTGGAGATTAGCAATGTTTTGATTCGACGGATAATCTCCCTTCGAAGATGTAGAAACGGTCGTACTTGTTGCAGCGTCGAAACGATGCACGTAACGGACGAGATGAACTCGAGGAAAATAACATAAACTTTCACGAGACGCATATTTTGCCATCGGTGCAAGCAGCGATCTTTGAACATCTTATAAGATGTTTTTCTGATTTTATTTCATTTCTTTAGAAAGTTTCTTTTCTTTTTTCTCTCTTTTATTGATCTCACGTCACACGCGCGTATCAATTGGCAACGGGCGTTAATTCCGCAAGACGCAATCGACTTTACAAAACAACTGGTTAAGTATAAAGCTAAAGTAGTTAATCTTGATTCGAGTGTTTTGCAGAATTATATCGTATCCGTCAATCCGAGGATCTTCGTGATTACAGATCTACGGCGGAACCATGACATGGTTCTCAGATCATGGTAGAGTCAAATATATCTAACTATATAAGAATCCACGAGAAAAATCCTATGGACTCAGATCAATAGTACGGTATCCGTCGATCTGGAGAGAAGCACGTGTCGAAAGATCTGTCAAGTTCTCATAGCACTTGACAATTCATGAATCTGTGCGCGCAACGCTCCGTTCGTGGATTTTTGTGAATCGAATAATTATTTTTTCTTTTTTTTATTAGAGCCCTAATGTACAATAGACGTTACGAGAGGAGCGATCGTAAAATTATTTAATCTAAATATATAATATATTGTGTCGTACCATTCCATGACGAGACTGTACGTTTGTATATATACAACAATCTGTAATTATGTATTAATTCGTACTTTATACATTTTTGTAGAAGCATTTTTGCGAGGCGTGGTTTCGCGTCATGGAACATTCGTGGCTATTCCCGATGGAAATGTGAAACCGAATATCGTGTGATTCGTATACCAGTTGAACGAGCAGTATTAGAATTGTTGATTAGAGACGGAGCTTGATGATGCGTATGTTAACAAGGTTCCTATGCCAAAACCGATTAGGATGAGCGCGAAAGCGTCCTATAATTAATTATATATTATTTATCATAAACGGGTAAACGCGTGGGGAGGACAGAAAGTTCGTGTTCTCGACGAAGGGATGTAAATACACACAGAAGTCGCAAACTTACGAGTTGCAAATTTCGCAAACGTTTATAAAACTGACGTTACTCGCGGTATGTCGGTCGGAAGATACTCTTTTGCTCGACAGACTAAACGCCCAGCTCAGCTTTCAACGAGACAGCTTTTTCAGTCAGAGATAACGACTACGTATTAATCAAAACGTATAACGTGAGTGTTGTAACCATATTGACGTTGACGTGTTTAATAATTATTGTAAGAACCACGGAAATGGTGTAACGTGAAGACAGTATTGTTTTACATGGGAATCTATGAGGTAATGAAGAACGCAAACTTCTTGAACACCTCGAAGGGACTCGTGAGAACAGTGCATGGTTCCTTCGTTACCTATTCTCGCGCTTTGTTCACCACTGTAGAATAAAGCCAGGGTTGGAGAAAGTTGCTTGTAACGTCGTTACAAATTACTTTCCTAAGTAATAATTTAGTAATGACGTTATTACTTCTTTTTTAATTAGTAATAGTAACACAATTACATTTTTGGAATAACGATAACGAATTTCTCGGGAAAAAATGATTATATACGACTTTAATCTCTCTATATGGCATTACATAATCATATGTAACTTTATATATCCATATCGAGAAAAATGCTATTGTACAAACACAGTCGAGGTTAATATTTATGTTTCTGGTGATGATATCGAATGTAATAGGATAAAAGTATTTTTTTCTTTTTTATTTAACAGAATCTTTTTTGGTGTGGGTATATATATAGGGTGGCTCACATAACTTTTAACAACTCGATATCTTAGAAACTATTTCATCGATTTTAATGATTTAAGTCTTGAATTGTATGGATCTGAAGGGCCTTCAAACTGGAATGCAGGTTGATTCCCCACCCTCTTGCGTGGGTGAAACGGAAGTTAACTTAAAAATTTTTAATGGAAATACCTATGAAAAATTATATTCTTGGAATTTTTTGGACAAAAACAACTTAGTTTTATCTGAAACATTTTTTGTCAGATGCTTCTATTAAAAAATATAACAGTTTGAAGTTTCGACTTCAAACTGTCAAGACGTAGATTAAGCGACCATTAGTTTTTAGCCATCAGCTTTTCAGTAATTGTTATTTATAAATAATTGTTATTTATATCGTTTTATTTATATCAAACTAGTTTCTTTATTAATAATGGTACAATAAAGAAATTTATAATTCTTGGCATACACAAGGATTAAAAAGAAAATTAGAAGATACAAATAATGAATTAATTATAATTTTACAACGCATTGACATAGAAATGCTACAATTACTACAAAAATTAATTTGTTATCCGATGAAATGTGTTAAAAGGAAGAAGTAATCTTCATAAAAAATGAAACGAGTTCCTTAAAAACTTTAGTTATATATTTTAATAGAAAAACTAGAAATTAAAACTTCAAACTGTCATATATTTTAATAGAAAAACTAGAAATTAAAACTTCAAACCGTCATATATTTTAATAGAAGCATCTAACAAAAAAATGTTTCAGATGAAAAAAGTTGTTTTTTCATCCAAAGAATTTAAATATATAATTTTTTATATGTATTTTCATTAAAAATTTTTAAGTTAACATTACAAGTAACTTGGACACTTCAATATTTTTAAAACAATTTTGCAATATTCAAAGAAATTATTTCGTAATATTTTTGAAATATTTTTAAAATATTAAGCGAAAACGTTCAAGAGATACACATAAAATCAATATTTCGAGATGAATCTAATGTTTTTTTGTTTACCGGATAATTATATATGATTATATATGTGACCGTATAGAGACAAATTCATGTATGGGTCATATGCAATTATACATAATTTATATATAATTATCGTTATCTTTTCTGCATATATAGAAGACATATTTATGTGGAATAAGTAAATTTTAAAAAGTACTCCTTTTCCAATGAATAACAATATCGAGTTACTTTTCAAAAGTAACTTTCTCAATTCTGAATAAAACGTAAAACTGTTTGTGTAGCAGGGATGAAAGTATAAGGCCTCTTTTATGTGCGTTTTCCTGTTATATAACGTATAAACGAGGTGTGCATGTGTGGCTAGCCGGAGGAATGCACGAGTGCTCCTCGACCAGGGAAAAAAATGCTATTCGTTGATTAATTATTAAGCGGACACACATCGATAATACGACGCGACCAATCTGTTGAATCTCAGAGCCTTTTCTTGTCACATAAGTCTCGTCATTGCGTGCAATACAAATGGAACTTTCGTTATCTCACAGTCAGATACCTGCGCAACTCTTACCTGTTCATCGCGGTTCCTCTCTATCTCTCTCTCTCTTTGCTTCTTTGAAATACATGCGATCTATAGATCCAAGGAATTACGGGATTCATGAAATCACAAACGTCCGCGAGACGTTAAAACGCGAGGAGGATCCATTTCAAATTCAGGATTTTATGTCACCTACGATGTCAATAAGCTAAGATCTACAAAAATGAGTATTCATGAATTCACGAATTCGCGGATTGTGGAATCTACAAAGTAGATCTATGAGAACAAACGAAAGAAAACACCTGGATTTATGGATCTCAAGATTTGTCACAGCCAATTTTATCTATATTTAAAAATATCCAACTAAGCACAGTTTCGAATATCTGTGGTGTTAATGAGCTTCAAAGATTCGTAGATGTCTCGGTGTATATGTAAGATCATCTAAAAAATTCCAACGATCTATAGATCCTAAATGTGCAATAATTCTTCTACTCTCGATATCACCCGCGGAACCTTTGAAGTTACACGGACGACGTGGTTCACGTTTCTCAAAGATCTACGTGAATTTCGAGCAGCTTCGTTCGCGCAGAAACTTCTTAAAGACGTCCGAAAGACGCCCTATTTTGTTTTCAGACGTCCTTTAGAAGCTTCTCCTACTTGAAGTGTAAATTCTGAGGAGCCGCAGCGGGTAGAAGAGATTTAATTGGGAGATGAAGGATTAAAAACGCAATCGATACTATCCGCACGGCGTCGGATAACGAGGATCGGCACGATCCTTATTCGCGCATGACCAATCGCGTTGTCCTAAATACTCATCCGCGTGGTGCCGTGTATAAGCATATGAACTATTAAGTACACAGAATTGACAGTATATGTACATTTTACATAGGTTTATGCGCATATATAGAGAGATATATCAAATACATTATATTATATACATATACGCGAGTATATAAGTATAAATACGAGACGGTGAATGTGTATAATTTCTCGGATGTACAGATCTGAACGTTATTTCCGAAATATTCTATTTTATATATAATTATTACATCGCGTCGTCGATGGCAGAGAGCGATAATCTTCCAATGCCGGCATTGTATCGCATGGAAAGACAGAAATCGGGTAACAGCACTGCGCAGTGTGATCGAGAACGTGGCGCTTCGTAACAAGGAAGTACGTAAAGGTTGTGAAACACGATATAAAAAATGAAATTTAAAAAAAAGAAAAAGAAACATTAAAAAGATACGCGGCGTATGTGTCGAACTCGCGACACGAAGGTACGGTCTCCCCTTCGATCCGCGCCGCGCGAAGAAACGTAAGGTTGTGCAAACGATGATTAATGAATTGTATTGCGGAAGCTTTAATAAACATACGTAAAACTGGAGTTCTCTCAGCCTCGAAACCGTATTTTACGGCCCTTAGATCAAGATAAACCACAATGAAATACAGCTATAATACAATTAAAAGTAAGATAACGTGAACACAGATGGAATGCTGGTACAGAGAGAGGAGATAATCAGACAATTATAATTAAATCATCTTTATTCTCTCGTACGTCGATTCAGTAAAATCTCTCAAACTCAATTTGTCTCTCATATACATAGAATTCTCTTTCGTATGCTACTCCTACTCTCTCAGGACGTTCTTGGAACGTACCATTCCGCGATAGTTATTTACACACTTAGTCTAACACACGCGTTCACGCAATATCATCCATACTCGTACGTGCACACACATGTGTATATTCCGAGCAATTTAAGAAACCAATCTTCATTATTGTTCCCAGAGCTCTCTTTCTTTCTCTCTCTCCTCAAAGAGTTATCCTTCTTTTTCACGTTTACAATATATAGTAACAAGATACTCGCAAATAGTCACCGGTCTAAAAAGGAATCTTACAAATAGATCCTGATCCTTAGAGAACAGATTTGCACACGAAAAAACAGCTCGAAAGTCGTAAGAAAAGATTTCACTCGTATCAATCGAATTAATCAGACAGGGTGGAACATTATATGTTTTCTTTGTGTGCTCGCAGACGTAATTGTGAATTACAAAAGTATGTCTCATCGAAAATCTGTCGATTAAGAATATCGACAGAATATCGTCCATTTTTTCTGGATACATATATGTATATTTTCGTTGCGCTATAAGCGACGAACGATGTGAGCTCGGTAATGTATCGCTTCAAACTTATCTCTGAATTTTCGAAATCATTTTCCATTAAAACATCTTTGTTTTCGCGAGAAATGACGTTGCCGTCTTCGTCAACGGGTTAAACTTGTCACAAAGCTGACGAGAGAGATTCAATTGTAGACATAAGAGTGGAAGAAGTCTAAATCTCGACCCTTTCTTTCCCGGAGCATATAATCGCATTATATTAAAAGTACACTTAAATAAAGAAATCGTCATACAAAATCTTGCAAGCTTGAAAAAACATTTTCTCCTAGCGTCGAATGGTATTTATTGATGGGAACGAAAGGGCTGAAAAGATCGTCCTTTCACTTTGTACGATTAACATTTATACGATTTGTACAAGTTCGGTTTGTACAAGTTGTAACATTCGTGATCGTCTTCGATCACGACTTTGGAGCACGGTGAAAAGCTTAGGATTTAACATCCGCATTTCACTGGGAAATAAGTGCGCGTGCAACTGCAACCTCGTGAAATTATTGCAATAGGGTTCTAACAAGAAAATTATTACATGTCGCAAAATGGAACACGCTCTAATTGCACGCGCAACATCTGAGCTGTCGATAGATTTTCCATTTTCTCTTTTTTTTTTGTAGAACTCATATAATATCGGTATAATCGGCCGAATATTAGTGACTCAAAGTACCATTTTAAACGTTTGCAAATATGAAGATATCGATAAAAAATCTACGGATGAATGCTTTTATTATTTCATGTTTTCTTACTTGATGCACCACTTTTCATTTGGTCAAATGTATAGAAAGATACCAAAAAGCAAACATTCTCGTTACTTATTGTCAGTGTAATGTTATAAAAATTTGCGCTTATATTTCGCTGTCCGACAGATTGCAAGATGTAGAGTAAAAATACCGTAATTGCACGTGCAATTATTGCTCAGCGCGAGACAGGTATAAGAATGTTTATAGTTTGTCATCGTCGCGAATGTGACGATCTTGTTCTTCTACGTAACAGTAGCCACAACCAACGTGGCATGCATACACACACACGCACACACACACACACACGCACGCACGCACACACACACACACACACACACACATATATATATATGCACACAATATATATTGTGTACATCTATATTTCTATATATATTTACATTTTTTAACGAGATTTGTAAGTAAATAACGACAAACGAGAGATATAATTTAAGATATAATAATAGATCTCGACATTTACTGTCGATTTTCAAGAAATTGCGAGCTACCTAGACGCGATTATTTTGACAATAATTTCGTCGGGGCTCGAATCTGTTTCTTAACAGCAACATATATACGTACATACATTCATACATACACACACACACAA